AAAAAAAAAAAAAAGAAATTGGATATTTTCTACGGAGACTGCCAGTCAGGAGAAGAGGACCAGATTGAAAGATTCTAAAAAGGTGATATAACCAGCAGCACAATTACTTTTATATTCTACGTGGAAAGAATGCCCCTTTCCTACAGGACTTCAGAGTCCCATCTATAAAGATACTGCCTCTTCTATGAACATGGCCAGAGGGCTCTTGCCTGCAAGCTGGGGGACCTCCATTCTGGTGTCTTGCACAGGGCGGGCACTCAACACATATTTGTGGGGCTGAAAATACTGAAATAAGTGGTAGGAGTAACCAGCAAACTCATGAATTATTAATTTCATGTCAACTAGTGGATTATTCCATTTCCCCTTTTCCATGGAAAAAATGTATTCTGAATTTTGGGTTTTGGAAAGTGAGTTTAGAAGTCCTCTGTTCCAGGATACCTCCCTTAACCAAAAATACTACATATTAATGATAAGCAGAGACCATTATATAATGAAAATATGCTTTGATTTCTAAAGACTTCTAACTCATACCAGAAATGTGAGCTTAGTTAACACTGGCCCATAATAACCTAAATACTTCACTTTTACTTTAAATAATGTACAGAGTGTTACATGTGTACACATACATGCTATTATGGACTGACTGTTTATGTCTCCCCCAAACTCATATACTGAAGCTCTAACCCCCAATGTGTTCATATTTAGAAGTGGGGCCTTTGGGAGGTAAGTAGGTTTATTTATTATTTCTATTTAAATTCAATTAGCCAACATATAGTCCATACTTAGTTTCAGATGTAGTGTTCAATCATTTATCAGTTGCATATAACACCCAGCGCTCATCACATGGTAGGTAGGTTTAGACCAGGTTATGAAGGTGAGACCCTCATGACAGCATTCATGCCCTTATAGAAAGAGGAAGAGACAGCAGAGTTCTTGTTCTCTATCCAAACATGTGCACCCAGGAAAGGCCACGTGAGGACATAGGGAGGAGGCCATCTCCAAGCCAGGAAGATGGCTCTCTACCAGAACTCAACCATACTGGCACTCTGATCTCAGCCTTCCAGCCTCCAGAACTGTGAGAAGTAAATTTCTGTTTCTTAAGCCACCCAGTCTGTAGCATTTTACTTTGTTATAGCAGCCGAGCTGACTAATACACATGCTTAAACACAGGAAGACAAAACTTGCTGAGGATATTTCCTAGGGAAGTGAGCTGGCTATCTCCTAAGAAGGCTCAAAGTAAACACATTTACCACATTCTGGGACAGTGCTTTTCAGTCTTTATTTTTTTTTGGCTCAGGCACTCCCACTGTTGATAAATACAAAAGTTTTGCACCCTACTTAATATCACTTGAAGTTAAAAACAAAATAAGTGTCTTGATGGGAAGGAAACTGAAAGAGTGGGACAAAGAACCATACCATTTCCCAAGCATCCTCCCCTCTGCTTCCTTAGCGATCATCCGAAATCTCATCTCAGCTTTCCTGGCTTAGAAACCTGATTTCATCAGCACTTTGAAGTAGAGCCATCCCTTGGGGGCAGACTCACATCACCAGAGCTCACAAGACTGATGTCAAACACCAGAAGGTCAATTCATTAGTTCACCATGGGCAATGTAAACATCACAAAGGCCAGGGACTCGTACCCACAGCACCAATGCATGCTGTTCCTGTCGGGAGGCCTCCACGAGGAGCTCAACCAAAATTAGAAGGTTACGGTGAACGCGGGATTCGGCCAAGCAGCAGGAGATGAATCAAATAGCTAAAGGCATCAGGCTCAGCTAGCCTGATGCATCCATTTCCTCAGTGGAATGATCTTGCCAATAAAGCCATACACGGTTGGCTACGGTTCCCTGCCTCCTTCCCCATAACACAAACGTCCTTGCCTATTCAACTGCAATACTCCCAGGGTTTGGCCACGGCCTCCCTCTCCCCTGGACAGTGTTTGGATGGGTGCTGCCAATTTTTGCCTCTGTGTTTTTTTTTTCCCCTATACTACTTTGGGTGACCAATTATTTAGATAGTTTTAATACACTTAATCTGCTTGCAAGGAAATCTTGCTGTAATACAGCTGTGCTATCACTTACCACTTTATAGATCTTTATGCAATATCACAGGCTCATTCGAAAATGTAACTCTCAGAGGGAAATGTCATTTCTAAGTTCTTGGGGGGTGACTTGCTGTGTCACCCATACACACGACAATGACGGCTTGTGTACAGACGTGTAATTATCTACATATACAGTCACATCCCTCCATTTGTATGCTTTTTATTATTTGTTAGAACTTAACCCTTTGGGTGACAAAGCCTTCCCTTGTGCTTATTTTTTTCCCTTAGTTTTTAACTGAACTGTAGAATAATGCAGTTTTGAACTAAAAGCATTAGATTTAATTAAGATGGCAAATATCTGAAAATATGGCCAGCTCTGGGAAAAGTGTTCAACATGTAAGGTACAACAGACCTCCTTTATCCTAGGGCCAACAACTTCTATGTGCGACACATGCCTTTCAAACAATGGAAATATTTATATCTAAGATATGTAAATTAAATGAGCAGCCTGACTTTAAAAAAAGTACTTGAAAGCCCTTTTAGAAATGTCTATCTGATTTGATCACCCTATAAATGCAGAGTGGAAAGCTTGAGTTATGCTCCCTTGAGAAGATCAATAATACTTAGTACAGAAAAGGCTTTCTATCCAGTTGTTGAAGGAAGAGTTGGCTATCGGTCAAAGGGGATTGCAGCCTTCCCCTTAGCCCTGTCGTAAATAGACCCGTTGTCATCTTGTGCTACTGTGATGTATTCAATACTGATGGACAACTTGCTTGTATGAAGCTGGTATGTTAGCTAAGAGGGTGGAATTACATTTTCCCACAATATTTTCTTCCCTTAAATGCTTTAATGCCATAAAAGGCTTTTAAAACCATTTAGTCTGGGAAACTGAGATGACCTTCAGTATCATTTAGCTCTTGGTTACATCTAATAGAAATCTATAGGGACCCCATTCCCCTGAAGAATTAACAACAGAACCTAGAAATTACCATCTGCAGACAACAATACTAAGTTTGTTTGCTTTCAGAGCAGCTCAAGCCTAGGGCTACTTCATGAAGCAGCACTATCTCCTGTCCAGCCGCTGCCCCATGGTAGTGCCACTGGGGTGGGAACAGGACAATCCCTCGTAGGTGGCTGAACTCTATCTGCAGCGCTCACACCAACAGGTAGTGACCAATGCACTCAGACACCAGGAAGTGGGCATTCATTTCACAGGTATACGTTAAATGACTGAAATCTCATCCAGAGGTTTAGAAAGGAGGCACATGAAAGAAAACACCCATTATCATGGTTGTCTCCCTGGAGCTGAATTATTACAGAAGTCACTCTGAAAGCTCTATCACTCAGCAACCAGACTAGGTCCCTTTCTAGTCTCTCTCCTAAAAAACAGTCTTCTTAACCCGGTCTTTTACTGCCTTCATTCTTTGTAGGGGGAAAAAAAAGAAAAACACACCATGTCCTCCTTTCCTTCTAATTCCTCCATCCTTTATTACAGCCAAGTTTCTAGCTTTTGTATTGATCTTGCTATTCTGTTCACTTTGACCTGCCTTGTTCACTTAGTGGGTTCCAGGATTATATTACCTTATTGGAACCAAACACAATTGAACACATATGTTGTACAGGGTGCTAGTTTTCCAGCTTGAGTTAACAGAAACCAATGTGGAAACATTCTTTACCGAGAAAATATAAAGTTTGATATTTAGAATTTTATAGAGCATTTATTTTGATCTCTTCATCTAGAAATTTGTTGATTCCTCAATCACTGGGAAGATGTTGTTTCTAAAACAATGAAGAAACATAAATAAAAAAGTGGCTAGACTATTATAGAAAGGGATGGAAACCATCTACTAAGAAACCACTTTAACAGAAGTCAGTTAAATATTTAAACCTACTGCAAATATTTGTGTATTGCTATTTTATAACGTTTGAGAAGCAGATGATCTGGATTGATCTTTTTTTTTTGAGGTTGTTATTTTAATTTCTTCTACCATGACTTGGGTTTTCCTGTTAATATATGCAGATTAATCTTTAAGTGGTATACTTCCTTACCTAACCACAGGTAGTTCAGATCGATTAAAAAACATAGTCATAGTAGTTACTGGTTCATCTCTTACTACTGCTAATGGTATGGTTATATGTGCCTCTGAATTTGGAGTGTTTGTTACAACATGTGCAACAGTCACTAATGTGCTAACACCATTTCTTAGAATCAGATACTTCTTTTGGACTCCCGTCTCCTTTACTGCTATCAGCTCAAAGTTTGTTGCTGGGAGTCAGGAGGCCGGAAGGGAGAGACACTGGGGAATAAGCCATATCTGCAGCACTAACACTCAGACTTCAAATACTTAGGACTTTTTGTACCTACTTGTTTTGTAGTATTGCTGGTATCCATGAAGCACAGACCTTTAAGGAAAAGGAAAAGGGAAAAAAACGGGGACCAGAGGCAATACCCCTACCTCTCCCATCCCTGGACAACAGTCTCACCTGGTTGGTAGAAGTCAGGCGACAGCTCCCTGGCCACAGCTCTTGCGATGTCACACTCCTGGCGGGCCGCCTGGGCAGCCTGGTCGGCAGCATCAGCTTTCGCTCTTGCGTGTGCAGTCCTACACGGGGCACAAAGGGCGAGTCAGCAAGGGCGGCACCTTGTTAATTACCCACGGACAAGCACGCTGTCTGCGGCGGGGCGGGGAGAGAAATGCTCACTGCGCTCATGGCCCCGCGCTTCCCACTGCAAGTTTTAAGGTCAGAGTGTCGTAAGCTATCCACGAAAACATGGATGGAACCACCTGTATATTGCCTCAGTCCTTCTTTCAAGCTAAATGAAAGGGTGAGCAAGTTTTGTGCGGCCTGATGCAAAGCCTGGTTTTCAAAACTTCCTGGATCAAATCTCCTGCTGACTTTGGTTGGCAGCTTGCCCCGCAAACCATGGAGAGTAGAGTTAGAGCTTATGAATATAGTGTTCATGAATTTAATTCCTGTGGCAGAATCTATATAAGAATTTGATTAAGAAGGGTCTGCCCAGTAGCATGCTGAAGAAAGTAACTCTGGAAAAAACGTGGTAAAACTCTTATTTGTAGCCTTGATTTCCATGGTTAAACAGGCCCTCTATGACCGATTCAAGTGACCAGAGTGATCTCACTGAATGTGTGGTTGGGAAGAGATGCACACAATGGGCTCACCAGCCTGCAGAAGCAGAGCGCAGGGTCTGCACTTAGGAATGTGCTCAGAAGGTTCTGAGGAGTCCATTTAAGTATGTTTTTTGTGTGAAACAAGGAGACAGAGTTGGGGAGGAGGAAACAGATGTCTTTCAATCTTCCACCTGCCCCTTGGCCCATCCTCACTCACGAAACCTCTTCCCTTTCCAAAGAACTAGGGTGAGGGAGAAGGCAGCTGGGTAGAGAATGGGGCTTCTTATGGCAAGACAGGAGAACTGATGTCCCCCTGCCCAAGAAGAAAGGATTTAGAGGGTAAGACAGAGAACTCTAGGGCATCCGCTTCCAAAGAAGACCTTGCCCAGTTAGTATTTAGATGATAATCATGGGCATCTATTTCTTACGATTTTGTTAACTTTCTCTTCTATTTCACTAGCATCAGGCACGGCTATAGATAACTAGTAGTAAAAGCTTGATGAAAAGTCTGGAAGAGGCGCTTGCACTTATTTCAGAAACAGCAGGAGAGGAAAAGTTGGGAAACAACGTTGAGCCCCAGCAGTTCTTAGGAGAGAAAATGCAGGTGGCAGCTGGAGGAGGCCGGCAGACCAAATTCCTGGGACTAGCTGCAGGAAGGAAGAAGGGAAGATGGGGTCTGACCTGAGACGGGGGTCAGTAGGTCCTGTTCCCAAATTCTGCAACTACCTCCTCTCTCTCTGTGTCTTCATGGGACCCTTCACTCCTCCTTAGGACCTAACCAACACTGGAGGCTGGATGTACTAGAATGTAAGCTTCATGAAGATTGGGATTTTACATCTCTGGTCCTCTGCTGTATTCCCAATGTGTATGAACTACCTGGCACCCGGTATTTATTGAGGGCTCGTTTTATGAATAAAGGAATGAATGATGCATCCTTAGGAACAGCTGGGGAGTTCCTTAAAAGTGAACGGATTGACAAAACTATAGACCCAGTAAAAAGATCGGTGGTTGCCAAGGGTTCAGGGTAAAAGTGGGGGAGGGATGAATAGGGGAGCACAGGAGAAACTTAGAGCAGCGAAACTACTCTGTATGACACTGTAATGGGGGCTCCATGCCATTATGCATGTGTCAAAACCCACGAGACAGGACCACACACAGAGTGAGCCCTAATGTCAACTACGGCCTTTAGTTAACATTAATGTAGCAATCCTGGCTCATCAATTGTACCAGAAGTACCCACCAGTGCAGAGTGTTCATAATAGGGGAAACTGTGTGGGTGTGGAGAGAGGAGGTATATATGGGAACAAACCCTCTACTTTCTGCTCAATTTTTCTATAAATTTAAAACTACTCTAAAAAATAAAGCCCAATAATTAAAAATGAATGGATCGACTTTCAATCATCAAAATTGATATTTCTGAATCACAGAAGATACTTCAGATTACAAGGTTATCATGAAATGGAAACAAAATCAAGAAGGTAAGAGCATAGTCCTGAACAATGGGCTGTCATAACCCCCTCGTGGGAGCCATGGCTGATGATGGGTGACACTTCAGTCCCTGTGTTGTGCCTGAGAATCAATGGATGCCCTCTGTTATGTTCTTGCACAGTTTCTCAGAATCTCAACTCGTTTCCCCAGAATTATTTTCCATTGTATCTGCTATTCTTAGATAGACCCTAATTATGTCTAGGCATCATAATTAATGAAGCCGTAAGAATACAGTTATGCTGCCTTATAATAAAATCTGCTAGCCCTTCGGTGATACATTTATAAAACCAAGTACAAACAGTTTATTCTAATAAAATCACAACACACCACTACATACTCACATAAAATGATACCATTTATCTCCACCACTTTTTACAATACCTGGAGAATAAACACATACAGCTTAATATTTCTGCAAATGTATTTTGGAAGAACAGTGTCCGTAAAGCTGTAACCCCTTTACTCTTTTACTTGCTCTTTCCTGTAAGACCAAACCGGGGCGGGGGGGGGGGCGCGCAACCTTTCTATCTAGTGCCCCTCCCTGTGTCAGTGATCCTACACAGGTGGCAAGATGAGTCAAAACCACATTCAAACCCTGAAACAAGAGGTCTGCACGAGAGCTTCTGGTAGCCTTAGACCCAATGACAGGAAGTAGAAGAGAACAGGAACCCATCTGAGTTTGCTGTCACCACCAGCTTTGTGTGGCCAGGCCACTGATATGTCTAGATTTTGCCCGGGGGAAAAAATCTGGGCTTAACTCTGGCTCATGCTAGTGAATTCATGTGTTCAAATCCCCAGCTCACTTCCAGAGCAACACACGACCCCTTTATTCAGCCAAGTGGTAAGACATGCCTTTGTTCATGGGTTGGGGGGTGCGGGGGTGCGGGGGGGTTCTGGCTAGTTAGTCTGGAAAGGACAGCTGCAACAATGCAGGGTGGATACCCTGCTGCTACAGCTGGTCACGTGGAAAACACACACACACACGCACACGCACACACAAACAGGAGCATGCACGCCCAAGAACTCTCTCACGTATTCAACACACCGCCCATGTCCATAAGCGGTCAGACCCTCACGAATCTCCAAATACCATTATCACATACACTTTCTGCCATAAAACGCAGTAAAAAGTAAGTAAACAGCAACTTCTTTCAGTTAGGCATCAGCTGTCGACTTTCTGTTAGGGCCATATATATATATATTTTTCCCAAATAAACCCAAGTTTTAGCTTGTAGAGAGTTACTATGTGTGGGAGAAGAGGCAGGGAGACCTGAGCAGTTGGCTAAGCTCACACAAGCAGCTGGGTGAGTCCCCCCCAGACATAAGTCCTGCGAAGGTCACTTGTGAACAGCCAGAACAGTAAATGTGGCATTTCTGGATGTAAGGCATTCCTGGCACACAACAACTTAATTTCAACCGATTTTTCTAATCAGTAGTTTGATGATGAATACCTGAAATTATTCTTTAATAACTGAAATAGTTCTTCATGAACTCTCAAGTCATCTTACTCAGAACAAAATAGTCTGGCTTTCCTGATTTTTCTTAAACTTATTAATGCTTTCATGAAAAAAAAAAAGTCTATCAACAATATATTGAATATGCCTGGCATAGACTCCTGCTAAGGTAACAAGCTGGCCCCTTAGCTGTCTGTCCCAACTTCTAACTTCAATCTTTTTTTTTTAAAGATTTTATTTATTTGAGAGAGAGAGAGTGAGTGAGCGAGCGAGGGGGGTGGGGAGCAGAGAGAGAGGGAGAAGTAGACTCCCCACTGAGCGTGGAGCCCGATGCAGGGCTCAGTCTCACGACCTTGAGATCGTGACCTGAGCAGAAGACAAGAGTTGGATGCTCAACCGATTGAGCCACGCAGGGTGCCCCTAACTTCAATCTTTTACTCATCTATACACTGACATAGCTGATGACGATTTTAATTTAGAATGCACAACAAATCTGCTAAAGGTAAAACTGTATACAATATTCACAAATTTTGCTATTTCTGCTTTTTTGTATGTTTTCTTCCCAACAACAAACTGCTTTAAAAAAAGGTGGATTTTGATGTCTTTTTAAATTTGTTATATTAAATCAAAGTCAGTTTACTGATATTTAAAATCTGACAGCAGAGCTGATGATGTATTTGGTTTGGGGGCTGTACACCTGATTTGCTTTGATGTCCAAATATTTAAAGAAGATTATTAGGAAAATTTAAAAATGAGCTCAATTGTGCATAAGAATCCAAATCTCAATTGTGCATAAGAATCCAAATCTCAGGTGATGGCAACCCCATCTTCCAGTTCCTCAGGCCTAAACCGTTTGAGTCATCCTTGATGCCCCCCTTTCTGTCACACGCCACATCCACAGTGAGCAAATCCAGTTGGCATTACCTCCAAAACATCCTTAATCCAGCCAGTTCTTGTTATCGTTGCTGTGCCTGCCCTGGTCACATTGCCACCATCTCTCACCAGGGTTCCTGCAAAGGCAGAACTGACCTCCCCGCGTCTATTGTCACTGCTGACCATTCTGTTTCCTTTCTGGTTCTCCTGAAAATGCCTGACGATAGCTAACATTCTTTCCTGGGTTAAGACATCATGATAAGAAAATGCAAAAAAGTATGACCTGTTAGCCTTCCGAAATAAGAAAATGCAAATAAATATGACCTGTTAGCCTTCCTTTTGGAGTGTGACCTTACTCATTTATGAGAGACCCAGATTTGGGAAAGCCAATTATCTTGTGCATACAGTTGTGGCCCTTTTTAAGAAGACATCAGTCTGTGAAGCAAGAAATACTCTTGACAGGAACAAGAGAGTGGTGGCTGCACAGATCTCGGCTAAAAAACAGAGACATGATTTCTGAGTTCCTGCACTCAGAAGAAACTGTCTTTCTATCTTGATTTGGCTCTCTGATAAGCCTGGCCCGGCGAGGCTCAGCATGTGCTCCTCCTGATAAGGTACAAGCGGGCCCCTTAGATGCCGGTCTTGACTTCTAACTTCCAA